ATAAGGAAATTTATAAATGTAGTGCGAGATTTGCATATGATTGTGGAAGTTATATAATAAGATATCATATACATAGTTTAAATTATATTCTATTATTAATTTTAAAATCCTCGACTTCTTATTGATATCATATATACCATCGCTTTTCATTTGTCTTCCAATATGCATATTTTTCCTAATTCAATTTTCAGCTACGATACGATAGTCTAGACATGATTCACAATTTTATAGTATGATTTTTGTTGGCTTCTATTGATTGAACACATTATAAACCACTAAACTATTGAAGAGTTTGAACTAAGTTAAGGTATTTGCCTTTGTAGTCAGTATTAAATGACTGATGAGTGTGTCGACCGACATTGAATTATACGATAGCCATTGTCTTGAAATTACCCCTGCTTTACACAAACCCGGCCCTGTAAGAAAAGGTAGTAGCATAATAATCGCTTCAACCCTCTTATTGAGCTACCTCTTATAGTCATATGTTCATATTCTATATTTCTCCAATTATGTGGCATTACTTTAAATAATTTTTAAGTATATTTTAATACATTTATAGCACCCTCTATCTCTGGCACGTCAGTAGAGGAAGTCCTATCTGCAAAATCTCCCCAGCACATCCATATATTTCCAGCGATCTTGTCAGCGTGAAAGCTCGTCCCGCATTGAATTGGGTCACCGCTGTGACGGGTTTGTTCAGTACAGACCTCCTGGCCACTGGCTCCTCCTCGGGTCATGTTCAACTCTGGCGTCTCCACTTGGAGAGCGAAAAGACCTTCTCTTTTGGTGTTGGCGATGATGAGGACAAAGAGGGTAGTGATGAGGAATCAAAGCCGAAGCAGACGCGTCTCCGAGTTCATCATGATTCGGCAAAATTAGAACGAATTCCCAATGGAGAATTCCACCTAGTGAGTTTCTCTTCTCTAGCATTATGCGCTTGGAGACTCCCCTTTTTTCCTAAAACCATATTCTATCAATATTGTTTTTTATGCTTATAATATAAATTACCTAGCCCATTTAAGAATTCGAATGGGACCACCACCTATTGACCCGACTTAGTGATTCCTCTCATCGGTTGTAATTTAATCCGTGACTTCCACCATGGTGGACATGTACGGATGCCAATGCGCCACTAATTCACTAAACAGGTACTATTTATTTATTTATTTCAAATGGCAGGCTTTATGATATTTATCATTAGCCCTTAATCTTTGACTTCAGCTTCCCCCAGAGTGGGGGGGTACATTTATAGCAGTTAATTAATAGCAGTTCATTAGCAGTCTTCTTGCTTCCCAGTATCTTTGGCTTTCTGTCCTTGTCTTTAGAGCTGGACACCGAATCAGGTGGGTCTTCTCCATTTCCTCATGTAGGTTACATAGAGGGCATGTGGGTTGAGTGTATACTCCCAGTCTGTGAAGGTGTTTTGCCAAGCAATCGTGTCCGGTACGTAGTCTAAACTCAGCAACGGCTTCGATTCTTGGCCAGTCGGGTATGTCGGAGAGTGCCACTGTCCACTGTTTCTCCTTTGTTCGAGCTTTGAGTTCGTTGTACCTTGAGGTCTGGAATTCTCTCCTGATTAAGGCCTTCATTGTGTGGAAAGACATCGGCCGGTCCATACATTTCAAAATC